GCAGCGCAAAGCGTTAGCATCAGTGACAGGTATATTTTTTAAAATTTTTACGCCACGTAGGGTAGCGAAGCTTCATTGCGATGCTTGAAGAAGTGTGTACATTCTGAAACACGGTTATAGCGAACAAGCTATCGCTAGCTTTCTCTATCTTTTTAATATTGACGGACTGTCATTAAAACTGCGATAATTGTGGAAAGTGTTCAGTTGGGGTACTAACCTAAGTGGAAAATTTTTATTCGCGCCATGTACCCTTTCGATGTACAGTGCAACGAAGCACCGGAGTCATGTTAGCGCTAACAGTGTCGAGCAGTGTTCATACACATTCTTCGCGAAGTGGCGTTCGGCGTTGTTGAGACGGGACATTGTGCGTACCCGCTTCGGCTGTTACACTTTTTCCTTGCGTTATAAAGTGAATGATAGAACAATTAAGCAACAGAAAAATGGGATTATATTGGTACGGAAGAAACATTTCATGTATGTCCAAAATATGAAGACCATATTTTGGACATTCATGGTGCACGAATCGGCATATGTATTTTTGTTTACCCTTCGTGATAAGAACGGCGGAAATAATGTAGTCTAAAACGCCGTTTTGAAAAACAAAAACAAAATTGTTTGCGATTCTAGATGGTATTTCCTTTTGATGACTATAATTCACTTTCCGCATGAAGGTATATCTACATATTCTAGTTTAAATTTATTAGTTGATAAAATTAGTACATTGAAAAGAAACAGACACGCTAAACAAATTACAGCCTAATATTCAGGTAATAATATCAATGTACTAAACGCTGCTGACTTCTGAAAATATACAAACGAAAAGAAGTTAAAGGCTCTACACGAGAAATGAAAATTCAAAACTTAAACTCAAACTCAAACTCTTTATTTCTTTCCGTTTGGAGAGGGGAGACAGAGAACAAATCAACTCAGTTGTTGCTTGACGAGCCTCTGCCTCCCCACAACAGAAATTCTGCAAAATTGAATATTCTGCAAAATTGTACTGCAGAATATTAAATTTTCTACCCTTGTCATAATACTCTTTTTTACACACAAATTTATCAAATCATTTAGGGAGGTTCTGCAAACTATGAGTTACCGCCTTCTAATAAACTTATTTTTCAGCAATGAACTCGTCTGGTAACATCACTATAAATCATAGTTTGTTTTTTATAGTCAGGTTTGGTCTAACAATTTGATCGGCGATGATTCCTGTGATATTTTATGTGCAGCAAGCGAAGTTGACGCGTACACGCAGAGTACAAGGGGGCCGTTAACCGCTTTAGAAACAAAGTTCTACCCAAAAGCAGTGAATGTTATGTGTCCTATGTTGCTTCTATCGTGCGCTGGCATCATCACAGAATTTTTTGGCTATTAAACTGCATACCAAGACGCGACCTTGAGAAACTAGAAATAAAACCTTGGTTGAGACAAGTTGGTACATACCGATTAATAGGCTAAATGACGCGAGCAGAACAGGATGAAAAAACAGGACACGTCTGGGTCGTACGTGTGTCTTTTTTCGACCTGTTCTGTTCGCTCCTTTTAACCTTATGAGAAACTACATTTTCCTGAGAACAGAATGATTAATTTATTGATAGTGCATTGAATTGTAATAGCTCATTGTTTACAATTTACATAGCGAAGCCACTGATCATATTTCAAGTTAGATACAGCTGTCTACCAGTTTTGGGCAAAATACTGGATAAAAATATTCAAGTTAATTTACTAAATACATTTTTCATAAAGCATCTAAAATACCAATCAAGTTACTTGAACTGTAAAGTATCTTGAGTAGAATACAAATACTTAGAAATGTAATGCAACTACTTTTTAAGATATCATTGCATAATTTGTATCGAAGTCAGTGACAAACACAATTGCACAGCTGCGCAAATCTGGTTTACCGGAATAGTTTATTAGCACGTAACAGCACGAAAAAAAAAACATTTTAGTTTTTTTTTGTGCCGCCAAACGAGAGGAAGCAGGATATCCCTGATACATGTTTGCAAAACATTTCTAGTGTAATAAAAAAAGAGGTCGCTTCAGCATAGTGACATCGTGGAATGTAACGTCATGCGGCGCTCCTTATACACATCGTTTAACTACAATCTTTATTATGTTTATGGCGAGTTCTAAAAAAAACGAACTTGACATACGGAAATCAGTAAATAGAGAACAAAGACAGTGTACACAACAGCGAGGTCACTGGTCTCACCTTCTTCAAGTAGGCAGCGTTCAAGGGGACGCTACGTTGGCATTTTTAGAGCCATCCTGCTCGTAGTTCGTTTCCTGTCACGTTCTCTGCTGATCACGTTCACTTACAGACACTGTTCGCGAGAGAAATAAATGCCAGAGTAACGAGAAAAAACCTCGACGTTTTATTGTAGCGAAATCAAATAAACAACAAGCAAAAAAATAACGCGTTCTTTGTGTGTTTACTTCTCATAATTTTTTCTAGTTATAATTTCGTTGATGCAGAAGTTTGCATTGTTCGCGTGGGTTGTTTTCCGATGTGCGCCTCAGTGTGGCAATCTTTACTTCCATAAAAACACCCCTTTTGTTAGATGAGCTTTTTGTTTTGTGGCGGTGGGGGGGGGGGGGGGGGGGGGAACTCTAGGAAACAAAAGGCGCCTTGGCGAAGGCGAGGGGAAAAACTTCGTTGTACGAACTTTGAGTTAAAATATGAGTCATAATCGGTACAAAAGCGATGCTTTCACGAGCTCGATCTAGGTCACCGTAGCTTATCAATGTTAGCAACAGGATTTGGTTGCTCGAAAGATTGTTAAATTTTGCTCGCGCCATGCCCACGCCACTTCAGACCAAAAAACTAGGAAAATGGCGGAATGTCAAAAATGTACGTGAGCAATGAATACCAGATACTCAGAAATGTAATTAAAATAGAGTATCAATTACTTTCGATCAAAATTATTTGCAAGAAACCAAGATACATCAAAACATATTTGAAATACAGTACCTTAAGTAGAGTATTTGAGATAGGCAAAACTCTGCTGTCTATTCTCATTTTGACATTTTGGACAATGTCCGGAGCCCGTGTGATGATGGAACCATTCATTGAAAGCCCAGTATTGTTCCAGGTTCTGTCTGTCTTTTTCTTTCGCGTCACGACCACTCGTTTTGCTTCCTTCCCGAAACCGAGTTCGTAGTGAAGTCTCTATATCCCAACATCTTCCAATTTTATATTATTATCTTACTCTTTGACTCAAAAGATAATCAAATCAATTTTGAGAATGTATTGAAAGAAAATGGCATTTCACTTGAGCAAACTCTTCCTCGAAATATCGCAATCCTGAAATGGTGATTTCAACGACACCACAGATACTTCCCGGAACCGAGAAGAAGAAACTAGAGGTGAAGAAAAGATGGTACAAACTATCCATATAAGCGCCGAAATCTGCTCATTCTTGTGGGACAAAAAAGCCCACCAATCGCATTAACCTCGGTTAGTAAAACAACCTCAAAATGGGTGAAAAATCGTAATAACATATATTTGTTTGCCCTCCAGCCGGTCTCCATTTCCAACTGAGCGCCGTCAATAGCGCCACTGTACTATAAAGAGACTTTCATGTTGCGTGATTCCTCGCTCGTGTGAATCAGAAAGATAAAGCTATGTATTGAGTCCTTTCTCTTTAAATTAAAAAAAGAACACTCGATAAAAAGTGTGCAGTTCATACTCTACACTGGCGCGCATCAAATAAGACAGTCGAATCAAGGGAGGTCTAGGGACAGCTGAGTGTCGTAAGGAACAGGATGATACCGGACATGACATTTCTAAGATCCTCCCGCTGCTTGTCAGCATTTGCTAAGTTCATCTACGCCCTCTCGATGCGCTCCAAAGGCGAACGTGGTCACCACAATGTTTCGCTCCTGGACTACCTGTCTCTTTTTCAAGCATCTTTTTCGGCCGGAGGATGTTGAACGTCCTGTAAGCAACGTCGGCATTTTAGGCCGCCTTCGCTCACCCTCATTCTCAATACCACACTCACCTCAGCCCCTCACCCACCATCACCCTAACAACTACACTCAACTTAAGCCCCTAACTCACACTCACCCTCACGGTCACAGTCACTTTCAACCCTTCACTCACCCTCACGCCCTCACACCCCTCACCTTCCTCACTCGCAAAAACACTCATGAATTTTCAAGGTTCAGTGACTAACTCGCCCTCACCTCACCTGTGAAGATGATAGGGAGTGAGGGTGAGGGAGGGCCGTCATGACTGAGGTTTGCGGAGGTATGCCTAGAAGACCCCATGGGAAATTTGGTTCTCAAGAAGCTGCACAATTCAGTTTTCGTGCATGTGCCGGTACATCTTGTCGTCTATGATTTCTAATGATCTTCGATAGTCTATTTTGATGTTGCTTGACTCTGCCCTAAAAGAAAGGCAAGAAAAGTTGCCTTCTGCCTCACCGCTTTTCCAGAAAGAAAAGCCGAGTCATAGTCACACCATTTATAGAAAGCCAAAATTCGGTGGCCTGCGCCGTCGTGCTTGCACTCTCTCGGCTCTTGTTCGGTCTGTCACGTTCATATCGCGCCAAGAGGCTCCGGAAATATAACAATAATTTAGCAATAATATAGCTGAATTACTCGTGCTTCAGCGCGAACGGAGTCTTGATATAAAACACACACGTAAATATACAACGTGCAGAACGAACAGATATCAATGCTATACGGTAATCACGATGAAAGCAAAGTTGCTAGGTCATGTTTAAGAGGAAATCTGTAAAAAAACATTCGAAAACGAATAGGATGAAATGGCATCAGAAAACACTTGCATGGGAGCGATCGGACACATTTTATCAAAACTCTTTACTATTAAAGACCCCCCCCCCCTCCCCCGCGAACTCCCTATCTTAACACTGCATCAACACTATCACCGCCTATGTACGATCTGATGCGCGCTTCTTGCTTCATATCAGCGTCTAGAAAATGTAAATTCTGACATATACTTATATGGGTAATGTTGCTTGTTGTGCCACCAGGAAGCCAATATGATGCTGATGGAAACCTGAGGAACTGGTGGACACCCACCGCGCAAGAAGCGTTCCTAAACAGATCTCATTGCTTTGTACAGATGTACAACGTAACTGTAAAAGAAGTCAACATGACTGTAAGTGACGTCCAAACATTCCTTATAATTATTTTAAATAATAGTGAACGTGTTAGAACAGTAAATTAACTCGGTACAATTTCCAGGTTTTCAAAAACACGCTCGAAAACTCGCCGTTTCTTAATAAATTCGCTCATTTTTTTATATACTATTAGGTTTTAAATCATAGTAATGTATTTATTTATTTACTATTTTATAATATATAGTATTTAAAACTTTGAACAAGCAGAGTTTCTTACATATAGATAGGAGTTCTAATTTTATTTGGAATAGATATGACAAACTGAAATTTACACTAAAGTCAGGGAACTTCGTCAACATACACCAACTTAACTTTTATGTTATGGGGATACAGAGCCGATATATAAGCTGGTTCCTCCGTATACGTAAAGGACCTGTGTTTACACAGGACTTGTATGCGTACAGGTTTAGTTGTGTGCACAGAGTAACCTATACGCAAACACGTTCACTAATTGAAAAGGCATCGACAATCTAGCTAGGTTGAAACCGTTTTAGAGGTGACACGCAAGGTGAATTTTTTTTTTATTATTATTAACGATAACGTAATTAAATTGTCAGTTCATAATGCTGAATGTGTGTTTCTTTAGTATATAAATCTCGAGTTAGGTGTGATAAACCTAGTTTTTTCAATGTTCTGGCTGCAATACACATGAAAAGACCATGTTCTTGCGCACACGTGAGGCATAGCAATACGCTTAAAAGACCATTGTAAAATAAAATAATTTGCTTCTTTTAAACGCCTGAGTGCAATGATCCACAAACCAATATGTGCGATTTCTCTTTTATGTAACAATATTCGAAAGTTACAAAAAATACGCTTCATTTTTTTTACATTTTTAAGAAATATAAAAACATGCATTCTAAACAAGCCTTGATAGTTGCATTCGACATATCCTAGAGCATACGCACGATAGATTTGGTTGAGATAGGAAAAGAATTTTATTAGAAGTGCAAATGCGCTCGGCAAACGTTGAATCTTATAATGTATCAGGACATTGTCATCATATTTCACAACCAATATTTTTAACCGGTTATCCTGTCTTTTTAGAAATAGCCTTTCCAAATTGATCAGAACACTCAAAAGCAAAACAAATGTGTTTATTGTTTATTGCTCTCTCTTTCTTTCCTAAAACAATACATGAGTGAAACCTTTCTTGACATAAATTATTTCCCTCACAGCATTTCTTCGTAACTGGAAGGGCTCACGCCCCTTGGGGAAAGAGGAAGGCATAGATCATGTGATTTGAGGGAATGAGAAATAATATATTTTACTTAAAGAAGCGGAAGAGTGAGTATGAGAGAAAAAAAAAAAAAGTTAAACGCCGGAAAATGCAGGAACAAGCATCCGCGAACGATTCGAAGGCGCGTACTTGTGGCAGTTTTATGTTGCAAACTACGTCGTTTGAGACAACACCAGCTAGACAACAAACAGGCCTCCGCGTGGCCTCCTCTCCCTCTATGAAAAATCATCCGAGTCGGATAGCGCTAACTTGGCTATTGGATCCGACCCGACCTTCAACGCGCTGATTGGACACGAGCCCCAGCCGAAGACTGACACATCACTCGTGCTTAATCTCACGTCTCGATCGATCTGACTGTGATAACGCGTGCGGAGGTCTTCTGTCTAGGTGGTGTTGGCTGAGATCTTCCTCTAAGTACCCCTGTAAACGCAAAACCAGTCGCACTCATTAAAATTGACGAGCTCAACGAGCTTGGCTCGTTCAGCACTCCACTGACTCCGGCAGTCAAGTTTGTTATATTTCAAACCAAAGCTGGAGAACAAACCTCAAAATAAATTTGAAATCACTAATTAAATCTTTATTATTTTCTTCTCAAACATAGAAAAATAGTTGATTAAAATACTATCATGGCACGGAGATACAAATTTAACACTAACCTTTCACACGCCAATCGTCTCCCCAGCCAATGAGAAATGTAAGCACCTTGTAAGCACGGGGCGAGGCTTAACCAGGTGCGACCTCCAACTTCTGCATCTAAATGGCGTCTCATTTTGCGCAAAAAAACAAGAAAGTATTTTCGTGGAAACATTATTTTAAAAAATACGTGTCCCATCTATACCCTTTAAAAAATATATTTTTCCTCGCCGTGTTCTTTTAACGGCCTTAGAATAGAATATTTTGAAACAGTCTAGGGCACATGCTTGATAGAGGATCAATGTGCGGATATCTTACCTTAATTACTCAGTATGAGACTTGAAAGAAAGAGAGAGAGGGGTGACGTTATAAAAGACAGAGAAATTGAAAGTTAAAATATCTAATAAAATACACCAGAAGAGAGACAAATGCTAAGTTACTGAATGCGCCAAAATCGACGTTGGACCTTGGTCGGATTCCCACTCACGCTAATGTATATTTTTGTTTCACATGCCTTTTCGCATGATATAAAAAAGGTGAACCAGATATGTTTCGAGTAAATCTTCGTGTTAATCATTCCATTTGTGCCACCCACGCCATGGCTCTTCAAATACTCGCACTTTTGAGTTAAATTCTTGCACAACTTTCATCAAACGTAGGTTTATTGAAAGCTGTGTGCATTTTTGGTTTTAAAGATATGAGTGATTGCCTCACACCTTTACTACGCTGTTTAAAATTATACAATGTATTTTTGCTTCTTTCAGCTAGACGGATTTCATACTCTAGGTGAAAATATTGCTGACATCGCTGGCTTAAGAGCAGCCTATCTGGTAAGCAGGTTAAAAAGTGAAAATAAAGCATTTGTTTGAAGTCTATATATTCAGGTAAAAATAAATCTCATAATCGTTTCTACACCTTCATTTTAAGGCATGGACAAAATTCAATGATACCGAACAACTCCTTCATGATCTAGAAAACTTAACGGGAGACCAGCTGTTCTTCGTTTCGTATGCCCATGTAAGTTCCATCCAAAACGTCTTCTTAGATTTAACAAATTGCAAATATATGTAATACTCCTAGAAACCTTGTATGATACACTGTAGAAATACTTCTTCAGCAGTACTTTTTGGCGACATGACCCTGAAGCACCCTCCAGTGGCATAGCATTACCAAAACAGCAACTTCTCCCTGGTTTAAAACTCTCTTTTAGCTGTATCGCACCTAACTTTAGTGAGGCAGAAACACATATAATTGAAGACGTTCAATGTTACATAACCAATCCACCTTTAGTGGTGAAAAGAAATATCGTCAACACGTTCTTCTGCCGCATACTTCAGAGCCCTTATGCAATATCTCTTGCAAAAACCCAGTTGATTGAAAGCCAGGTGAAATAATATGTAGGGTGTATTTATTTTTTATCAAATACATGTTTTTCTAGAAAGAGCCGTGATTCTACACAAATGGGTTCTGTGCAAGTGATTTATATTGTCCTGGGGATATTATGTTTAATGGAGAATGCAACTAATAAATGACTAATTCTCGCGTATTCACCAATTACTTTTTTATTCAAATGTTTTATGAATCATGTCTATATTGAAGAAATGAAAGCAATCAATGTTGAATGACAGCCCTATTTCTCAAGATACTAGATCAAGCACGTAGTTTTAGTTATTCATTCTCAAGTTTCGTTCTGGAATCTTTCCATACTGAAACCAAATACGCGATGCCCACCTGAAGGACAACCCTCGTTTGACGCCGGATGGTCACGTGTTAACAACGAAATTTGCGTCCCTATTTTGTTTTCAGCGCGCAGGAGCTGATTGCAGTCGTTTTTACTTGGCTGGGGAACTAAAGCGATAAGCCACCTTCTCTGCCGCGACATGTTGCGATATCACAGAAAAACGTATTATTCATAGGTGGAAGTCAGGCTAAAAAGAAGCAAAAAAAAAAAAAAATGAAAATACACTACTAAGCAAAAAGCGAATGCTTCAACACGCTGTGACGTAAAAGTGACGCCGATTAATTATTAACACGTGACCCGCCGGCATCATAGGAGGACTGTCCCTCCTGCGGGCATCGTGCGTTTGGTTTCAGAATCGGCAACTTTCCAGAACATACTTTCACATTCAATAACTCGAGCTGCGTGTTCGATCCAGGATTTAAAAAAAAAAAACTGGGCTGAACTTCAACATTGATTGCCTCGATTTTTCAATATAAACATGTGCCCTAAACCGTCTAATGAAGAAAGTAATTAGTGACGTTTTGTTTATTATTCAGCTATTGCATTCTTCCCTGAACCTAATGTACGCCTGGCCGTATAACTCACCTTTCGAAACTGCATTTGTGTATCTTTCACGACTATTTTGAGAAAATAATTTATTCGATAAAAACCATCCTTAATAGTATACTACAATGTGCTCCTAATAACTGCACTATAAGAATAAGACAGCTTAGGTGAACTTTTGCTTCAGACTCATGCTGCGCACGTATACATGGCTTGCACGCGACGTCATAAAAGCCTGGTCATTCAGTTGTTTTCGGGGCGAAAAACAAATTTGGCGATGCGAACATACGCCTCTGAAGATAGACTCAGCAGCAAGGCAATCACAATAACCGGTGTATGATGTAGTCGCTAGTCATGTTTATAAACTCTACTGCAACCCCTAACGGTCTGGTAGGTGCACGCGACAATGTGTAATTTAATAAGTGGGCTATATTAGCATTGTCGAAATATACGTTATGTACACTTTAGGAATAATTACCATTGTTTCATGAAAGCTCTCAATTAGCGTACGCTAAGTGCGCTGCTGTGTTTGAGTGTTTATATAACCCGTTTACTACAAATCGTTGACAGAGCAGATCTGGGGCTTTGAGCATTCAGCTTTTCTATTCATGCAAATAGACTAACATAGTTTATAGAATTAGTGATGCGAAGGATATTCGAACCTTCTCCTCTCTCAAAATGTGTGTATCGTTTAATAAATTAGCAGGATAAAAATATTAACCACTGCAATATTTTAACAATTTTTTTTTTAAGTGTGTAATAATACACCTTTGTTTTCTAAGAACTGGTGCACGAACATCGAGGAAGGAAGGCTGCGATATGATATCATTAATGACGTCCACAGTCCTGCCAAATATCGGTGAGAAAAGCCTTGTTGGGGAGGAGTGCAATCCTAAAATGCGTTTTACGATTTTTATGCGTACAGAAATTATACTACATTCTCCTCTACTTTTCTGAAATATGTTTTTTTATATTGAATTCAGAAGTAATGCATTAACTGGCGGGGGAGTGGGAGACATAGACATATCCGAAGTCAGCTATGCTTAAATGTTATTCCAAGAGCAGCATCGACTGACACGCCTAGTTTTCGCATGTTCCTTTGTGGAATTGTTTTCATATATGCTAGAATGTAGCCGCCGCCGACGCTTTTCAAGAAGCCAGAGCTTACTCGGAATCCACCCGACGATTCTCAAGAAGCCAGAGCTAACTTTTTTGGGTACATATTTTCTTGAACCTCACTACTTCAATTTCATAATATGCATATCATTACTCAAAAAAATTTTTTTTGAGTTATAACCCAATAGTCTAAAAGGTGAATGAAAGAGGTTAACGAGGAAGTTAAATATTGTTTTTTTGCTGAAACGCAATAAAACAAATAATTCAGTTATCGCTGTAATCTTAGCGTTATGTGTGGGCCATATACACGAACGCATACCGCGATAGGAAGGTATTGGTAATTAAAATTGTTGCACAGGCTGTGTGTCAACATATTTTCGCGAATTCCACCATATTGCGCGCTTAATTCAACGAGAAGTCATATGAGCCACAAAATGAACGGGGACGAAAAAACGCTAATTACGTTCATATAAACCGTGCTCCCGTTCATATTGGCTTATGACAAAGGCTTATGACGGAGTGACTACGTCATAAGCCTTTGTTGAAATATTTGTCACGTACGTCACAAATCATCTAAGGTTGTGAGGATAAGATACGTATTTAAGTGTCAACCCCCCCCCCCCCCCCCCCTTTTCTGAACACTACGTATTCGCTGACAGGTTAAACCGAGGGCACTGACACATCAAAATCATACTTTTTTTTTTTTTATTATCCAAAGCGATGAAAACGGTGCCTTGACATTACCCTCAAAATTCGAAACTTGGGAATTCAGTATTTGTGAAGTAAAACACAATTTCCAAATGCCGAATTTGAAGTTCCCGCGCGATCTGCGCCAGTGCAGAGACGTAAAAGTTTGCTGTCTCCTGCGAGTCGACTTTATTTCGCATTTCTGATCCACGCTACAAAGCAAGACGTCGCTCCCACCGCGACCCGAAGCGAAGAGGAGAGAAGCGAACAGAAGGGCGCCGGCGGGCCGAGAAAGACCGGTTTCTTCGTCCGGTTCCCTGACTCACCGATCATCCTGTGCTCGAGTGCCGCCAAGTTTTCCGAGGGAGGGTAGAAATCCAGGAGGCGACATCACACCGGACTTTGATTTTTGGTATTTCAAAAAGGAGGGCCGTACTGCCTTCGTAATTGCGTTAAAAAAAAAAAAAAACATGTTTAATGATTGCCGTTTTTAAATGTTATAGAAATGTCGCCTACAAAGCTTCTAAATTTCATGATTTTTGACGTCACCAATCAAAAAAGGGAGGACGTGAGCAGTTGTAGAGAAAAACGCCCAAAATAAAAGGCGCGCGCGCGTGCGGGAAACTATTTTTTTGCAATGCGTTTTTTTTTTGCATGTTTATGACAACTTGCATCGTTTCAGACAATAAAAAAAATACCCTGTCAGTGCCCCTTTAAACGAACACTAACATCCCTAAAAAGAATTTTTGTCATGAGGTTTATTATGGTGTCAGGAGACTACCCAGTCAATATTTTGCTACGGCGTCACATATATTTTGGTAAAGTAAAAAAAACGCAACTGCTCGAAACCGAAACCGAAACTGGACTGTGGAGGAAGAAATACAGAGTAGGAGAAAGTTGGCGGAAGTAACATGGAAGTAGGTGTTTTTTTTTTTTTTTTTTTTTTTGTTTTTTTCTTTAATCAACCTATTTGCTGCTCTTTAGAAGTCACGGGAGTGGGGTATCATATTAATTTTCTAAACTTACAACTATGTGTGTTTTTTTGATGACCAACGACTTGGATTACATTTGGTGGTTGTGTTTAAACCATAGAAAACAGCTCGTGACTACGGAGAAGAGAGTGAGCGTGACTCAAACCAGCCAGTTCTCGATCGGTGGTTTTCGGGAGGAAAAAAATACGAATTTCGAGCCGCGAATTCTTTTCGTGGCGGTTGGGCTATCATACGTCATCTGCAAAAAAAAAACAACCTTGGCGGGCATAAATACCCTGTCAGTGTCCCTTTAAGAAAACAGGATGTGTCAAGTGTCTGGCGTCTTCATCTTGATTCGCAGCCAATCGCATTGCTGCATCAGATGATAATAACCTCAAAAGGCAAATCACGCTTAAGAAGCATCATCATAATAAGACTGGCCCTGTTTTCCTGCGTCTTTCGGTGTCTATGTGGGGAGAAAGTCGTCTGCTTCTTGCGCGGGAGTTGCGGTGACGTCACAACGACGCCGAGCTCTCATTGGCTTCGATCGAAAGGATAGTGGGTAGACCTCAACGCTAGATGACTTGAGCTCTACCCAATATTTCTAGAGCGCAGCTCTTAGGCGCCCGTTTCTGTGTTTTGCGGCGTCGGCGTCGGCGTAACCGCGCTAGACTTAGCGGTAAAAATGACGTCACGTAACCTCGAAACAAATTCAATTCCCCGCGAAAGGTAGCGGGGAAATTTAGTTTCTCCGCTAGATTTAGCCGACAAATTCAGGTTCTCCACTAGATTTAGCGGGAAAATTCCCGTCACGGGACCTTAACACCAATTGTATTTCTCGCTAAATTTTGCGGGGAATTAAGATGGCATTCAGGTCACGTGACGTCAATTTTCCAGGTAAATTTAGCATAGAAACTAAATTCGTTCATAAATTACGTGATACCAAGTCATTTGACGTCATTTTTTCCGTTACACTGAATTGGTGTTGATGTCACGTCGCGTCAATTTTTCAG